TTTGTTCCAAAAAAGCTCACATTAAAGTCTAGCAGTTAGTTTTTAAGAGGCCACAACACTTTTGTATTTGCCTGACATGCTACCATAAACTAACACCGCTACCTCTTCTTAATTTAAATGGCCACAGAGACATCCCAATTCACAAATTCATAGCGTGATTCAATGAAAGATTTCAGATTCCTAACGAAATAGCTTAGAGAGGAATCCTGAAAACCTGCCCTGCTAACAGTGTTTTAGTATGGCAACCCCCCCCCCCCGATCTATATTGTACTTCCTGGCTGAGTAAAGACTCAGCAAGGTTTTTAAACAAAACCCATATGAATAAACCATAGCTATTTTATGTTATTTTATTTATTTCCCCACTTTTCTCCTTAAAAAGGACCCAAGGCAGCTTACAGAATATGCAAATACTAAAAAAGATCATACAAATACCATGCTAAAAATGGTAAAAAAAAAAAAATAAGCAGTGCTAAAACACATTCAATTCAGTAAGGTACAGTACAACAATCCATTTTAAAAACCGAACTCAGCAGCCAGTCACTGAGAGAAAGGTCCTTTGAAGAGAAAGGTCTTCACCCGCTTGAGGAAGGACAGCCAAGAGGGGGCCAGCCTGGCCTCCAGTGGGAGGGAGTTCCAGAGTCTGGGAGCAGCAACAGAGAAGGCCCTCTCCCATGTTCCCACGAAATGCATCTGCGCAGGCTCATAAAATCCTCTGGATAGCTTGGCTCAAAGCTGTTTAGGGCTTTATAGATTAGAACTAGGACTTTGAATTCTGCCCAGAAAATAATCAGCAGTCAATGGAGCCTGCTGTAACAGGAGGGTTATGTGATCCCTGAGACCAGCCCAATGAGCAATCTGGCTGTGTTGGAATATCTGTGGGGATTTACTGTCCATGTTAATTTAAAGCATATGAGGTTTTTTTTTTCAATGAGTAACATACAGGATATACAGAGGTGGTCCACACTCTTTATATATAAAGGTTTGAATTACAGGATTTTCTTTTTTTAAAGGTATTTCACTAACACAGTACTACTCTAAGTCCAATATCAGAACTGTAAACAGCAATAACTTTCCTCATCACTTTTGCAGTGGGTTCAGGGCTCTACTGCATTCAGAAGCAAGGGGCAAGCTCTTTTTAATAACTGGAGCTTTTGTCCTCTTATCTGTACACAAGGAAAAAGCAAGCTGCAAAGGCTCAGGAATCTCTTGAGTTCTCCTCACCGCCCTGTTTCTACTCTATATACGAATCATTTTGGAGGGGGTAACAAATACAACATTCAAGAGGGCCATAACTCAGCCCTACCAGTCTCTCTTAAATACAATGGAAATAAATAAAACCAGGCAGGCACACCAAGGGACAGCCTGACCCTGGGTGGTTTTCATTACCTTCTTCCTTTTCCCCTCTCAAGGAAGTGAAACGTATGAATCATGGAAACAGAACAGAAGCCTTGCTTTATTCTTTCCATGCCCTACCATTTCAAAAGCGGTTTCACACTTGCATACTCTCCCTCCCCTAACAATTCAAGTTCACGTGCCTGGAAATTTCTGCCCTGCCTCTTGCGAATTTTCAAAGTAGATGCAAGGTTTCCGCTTGAACATCACAGCCACCCCGGCTTCGCTTTGACAGTCTCTACTGCAAGCCAACTCCCAAGAGCAAAACTATAATTCTGTTTTTAGTAGATTTTCAGACAGTTTCACACAGCAATTGTTAGATTCCAAGCAAATGTCATGGCCTACTCTGTCCAGTAACACGTCTCAATCAGATACAGTGAATCAATCAAAGGCAACATAAATCCACTCACTTCTGATAAGTATACAAGAAACTCCAATGTAATGCAGACGAGCAGGAACCTTAAGACCTGACCGACAGACTGCACACTCCCATGAGTTTTAGAGACGAACAAGAGACGCTTGTTAACTGTGACCGTGGGCGAGGGAAGGAAGTTGTGTAAACCTAGACGTATCCACTGAAAATATTCAGACCCTCCTTGTACAGAAAGAGTCACACATAATGGACCTTTCACGCTTCTATTTATGATGGAAAGTTTTAATGACCAAAAAGCTACTTTTGAAACAGCAGTGTGACCAAGCAAGTACGGAATTTCCAGTCCATGCAGAACAGCCACTAATTCAATAGGGATTAGCTCAAACCCTCAAATATTACGGGATGTACTTAAGCCACATTCATCTGTGAATCAAAAGGCATGTTCTGCTATAAACAGACAAAGCCTTGAATAACTCTTACGTTCTGCAGAAGGTAAAAAGGCTTAGCTATGTCCACAACTACACTTCTAGCTCAAGTTATCCAAAGCAATTTAGCAGGTATTATAGCTACACGAGGTGCTTGATGGCACAGTGGTTAAACTGCAGTACTACAGTCAAAACTCTACTCCTGGCCCATGTTCAAGTCCAGCCTTCCAAGGTTCAGTACTCAGCTGGCTGGGGTGTGTGCATGTGTAAATGTGTAGCCTTCATAACTAAAAACTGTAAAGCACCCAGAAAGTGCTTTAGGCACTATGGGGTGGTATATTAAACAGCACACGCCTTTTAACTTTATACCTGTTTGCCATTGTAAATACACTAGACATTGCTGCAGTTGTCAATAGTCAAAAGATGTGTTAATTTAATGCAGTAATCATATACCTATTTTCCTGAGTGTAAGTCCTGATTAATCCAACGCGATCTCTAGAAAGATATAAAGAATTACACTGGATGTCATGGGGTGGCCAGATAGAGGAGAGGAAGAAGAACACTGTACTTACACAGGAAAAGCAGTAAGCAGAATACCTGAAAAGCAGAAAAATTAAGTGTATAGGTTTCAAAAACCAAGCTCCCACAGCTTCAGTCCTACATGGGCTATTCAAAAAATTGGTCTCAAGATTAGGAACGCTTATGGAGAATTTACCTATTGCCAATCCATGATGAAATTCTCTGACTGGTTTACACGTCAAAACAGTACATTTTAAACACCCAATCAAGCATGAAATCAAGACTACCTACATCAGATTCTGATACTCCGTTTCAGAAACTGATGAATTTCTGTGCCACTCACGTCGGTCCCTCTCTCCATCCTCTCCCTGTAAAAAAAAAACATCAACCACCACCTCCACAATTTGGGGCCATGCACAACTGAGCTCTGCTTGTGGCTCGGCTGTGAGTGCAAGAGAAAAAGAGTTAAACAAGTAGGGTGGCTACTTTGTTGCTCTTTCCATCTGGACAAGATAAAGAGTCAAGAGTACATAAAACAAAGTCCCTGGGAATCTCTTTCTGCTATTATAGTGACATCATTAAAGCAGCTCCTCAGTGAGCAGGACCAGCAACAGTTTTGTGGCTTCAGAAACGGACAGCAGAGAAAGTGGAATCTTCAACAGGATGCTCACAGGCAGAGCTCTTCCCCCACTCCCAGGGGGGGGGGGAGGGCAGGACAACCACCGATCATTTACATCTTGGGATGAGCAATGCATCACAGAGGCAACCACTATATATTCTGTAACCCAGCCCACTGCCCCTGTCATTTGCCATCTAGAATTTGAGAAAGATGTAGGGGAACAACCTGGTTGCGGGAATCTTGAGAAGGACCCTTTCTCCCACAGGTGACTTGTGACAAGAGGGGGCACCTTCCCCTACAGTGGGAGGTGAGGTGCCCTTCTGGCTCAGCCTGTAAGCCTCCCCTACTCTGTCGATGTCTTTCTTCAGACTAGTCTTTGCAGCAAAGCTAAAGAGCTTCAGATGCAGGCCAAAAATCTTTGGCAAAGCACAGCCTAAATATTACAAAGGAGACTTACAAAGGAGCATGAGTCATTTCTTCAGTGCAGGGAGATAAGGCTACTGCTGTGAACTCCAAGGCCATCTACTTCTACCATCTGGAAAGAGTGGATGTCCCCTTTTTCGCAACTGTCGTGAGACCGTTGCATGTGAGCACTTCCAGTGGCTTCACTGGAGCTCCCCCCCCCCCAATATCACAACCATACGTGCTGGTTTTGTATTACAAAACCATGTGCCATGTCAGGCAGCAGCCTTTTGCGCTTCAGGGGCTACTCCACAATTAAGAGCAAGCGACTCTTGAGTTACCAATTGCTTTGCTAGGATTCAACCAGCACTACTACTTAGAACATTTCAGTGCTTTGAGGCTCAGGAATTTTTCAACTCTGGAATGAAGTTAGACCTCTAACAATGAGCCAATAAGTGTCTTTGTCGTTAATTTATTTGCTGGGGAAAACATGAGTCACTCTGAATTTTTTTGTTATTCTTGCCATAATGTTTATTTTTGTCTTTCAAGGGCCGGCTACCATGGGATATCCACCAGGAACCAGTTATGATTTAGACAAAGATGCTGGAGATAACTCACCAGCACAGTTTTACAGCATGCTAGACCCATCGGCCACCCCCTCCCATCTCCAAGTACATACACAGCTGCATTGCCTCCTAAGGCAGGAAGAGCATGTCATTACACAGGATGGTGTGTCCCCAAATCGGATTTACCAAAACTTCTTATGCTCCCAATTTGGTCACAGTCCATAAAGGGCCCTGGGAACTTTGCAAACTTTTCCAGTACAAAACCAGCTGAATCCTCACCAGACAAGGTCACTGTCAGGCTCAAGTCTTCTGGGATGGGCTGAAAAGGGACCCTGTCTGGACAAACTGGGAGGGTGAAATTAGGGCACTGGTGGCTCTTCATACCTTGTCCTTCCTCCACCCCAATGCCTTGGGATGTGACTCAGGGTGGGCAGATGGATGCCTTCAGCAACAGAGCATGAGGCTGTACAGATGTTTCAGTTTTTGCTGTCTTGGCAGCTCTGTTGCCAGTGAACACAAGTCCACTTGTCCACCATCAAGCTCGTTTCTCTGGCTCTTGACAGGATGTTCGTATAATCAGCCTTCTGGGTAATCATTACCTTTCTTTCAAAAAGGTTAAGAATCACTGGTATAATCAACCTTCTGGGTGATCATTACCTTCGTTGCTTGGCAACCATGTCAATAATCCCATTGTCACTCTGAAAGTTTACTACCAGTTTTAACAAGACCACTGTCATCTTCTGTCTCCCACGTCAGTCTTAATTCACCCCCACCCCCACAACTATTTGGATCCCCATGCTGGAGCACCATGGATAGGTGTATATAAACCAGGGTACTTCATGTGTCTGAGGAAATGGACTGGAATCCATGAAAGACCAGACTGAAAGACTCTTGTTAATGCTGCAAGTGCTGTGATATTCTTATTCTGCCAGACGACTGGGGTGGGGGTGGGGGTGGGATTTGTCTGTAAACTCACAGAAGGAGCTCCAGAACAGAGGTTGGAAAGTTGGATTGCCAGCACTTGCCTCTCACTTGACCATTTCAGGGAAAAACTGGCTCCCTTTGACAAGCTTATCTCTGCTCTAGCATTTCACTCCTTATATGGGTCTACTACACCCATGTGCCCTGGCATGGTTGCCGAGACACTCCAAGACAAGGTGATCTCCCGTTTCCAAAGCAAGGATCTGTCCATAGAAGGCACAAAGAGCAAAGCAGAGCACTGTTTTTTTTTTTTTAGTAGAGGCCGTCTTGATTGGATGAGCAAGTCAACAAGACTACAACAAGACTATCCTACCCAGGACAACAAAGAGGGCAATGCCAAAACCCTGACTGTGCTGTTTGTTCCTTTACCCCTAAGTAATGCATGGCCTCCTTATGCTGCTGGGCAGATGGCACCCATCAGGGCTGGCCAGCACAGCTGCTGGTGGAGAAAGCTGGTAAGTGCCCTCTAACAACACCCGGAGGGCTGCACTGCACCCAGCCCTGCCCAAGGTAATATGAAGTCGACGACTCTTGCATGGCAGTCGCTTCCCCCCCTCCCAGGTTCCGCCATCCTAAATCCAGACTGAACCATTAGCCAGGCCTTAATCTTGCTTTGTTTGAAATTAACTACGAGAGTGGCTGGAGTCTTGAACTTACCCTTTTAAAAAAAGTGGGTGGGTGGAGAGAGAGAGAGAAGACTGCCACTCTTTGGCAAGCTCACTGTGAAATGTTTAATCCTGGGGTTAAAAAAGACAAGACATATTACCCCTGTTTCACTCACTTCTTGAAGGCTGTAAGGTTCCCCTTGACAAATTGCCCAGTTGGGTCCAACTCTAGGGGGCGGTGCTCATTGAAGGATGTGTGCACAATTTTGTGTGTGTGTGTGTGCCAACTTTGTTGCAAATTCTCACTGGAAGCTACGATAGCCACTGCAAATTGCTAGCTTACCAGGGAGTAGCAGTTCCTTAAAAGAATGGACTTTTCCAGCAACACAAGAAACCCCTTTCTTCACTGCCTTTGTCTACCCCAAACTTCAGCAAAATCAAAGATATCATACTGCATTCTTTTTCATACACAGCTGACCTGGAGGAAGTGGTGTGTGAACAATGGACTTCTAAGAGTGTTGGCTGGACTGCTGAGTGAGAGACAAGTACTTGGCTGCAGAGCTAGACGATGGAAGTTAATTTCCAGATGTGCTTCCCAAGAAAAGGCCCGCCCTATGTAGCCTTGGGCAACATGCATGGTTCCAAAGTGCCCTAGAACAGTGGTTCTTAACCTTTGTTACTCGGATGCTTCTGAACTGCAACTCCCAGAAACCCCAGTCAGGACAGCTGGTGGTGAAGGCTTCTGGGAGTTGCAGTCCAAAACTCCTGAGTAACCCAAGGTTAAGAACCAGTGCCCTAGAACAGTGGTTCCCAACCTTGGGTAACCCAGGTGTTCAACTCCCAGAAGCCTTCGTCACTAGTTGTGCTGGCTGGGGTTTCTGGGAATTGAAGTCCAAGAACACCTGGGTTACGCAAGATTTCGAACCAATGCCTAGAAGAAA